TTGATGAAACTAAAGAAAGAGTAAGTGCCAAATTGGAGATTTGAAGGGAAGCGCTAGAATTAAAGGGTCTAAGGTAAGTAGGAATAAAACATAATTAAAGGGTATACGAATGTTGTGATTGATGTGCGGGTAGACAAGAAATGATATTAATTAGAAATGGTTGCATTCCTAAAATGGTTATAGTAGCACCAATTGGATATAGATTCTAAGAAAATCAATTATGGTTTGGATATGTACAAAGAAGAACACGAAGTGCGCTGGTTAGGAAGGGTGACATAGTCTGTGTTGAGAGAGAGAGAGAGAATATATGAAAACTTATATGTTATTGAGTGAGTAATACAATAATACAATGGTGTTTATATAGGACGGGAGTAGGTGAGTGGAGAACAAGAAAACCCTATACATAGTAATTCTATATATGGTAATGAGGGGTTGGTGACAACTCATATAATATTAACTATACACATGCAATACTGTACAAAACTACACCCCCCCCACCCCCCCCCCCCCCCCCCCCCCCCTCCCCCAAGTTGGAGAGTAAATGTCAATAACTCCCAGCTTGCTACATATGGAATCAATAGAGTTCTTGGGAAGCGCCTTAGTGAAGACGTCTGCCAGCTGTCTACCAAAAGGAACAAAAAGGGTAATAATCTCATTCGAGTCAACTTTAGATCGAATGGAATGGCAATTTACTTCAATATGTTTAGTCCTCTCATGGAAGACTGGATTGCTAGCAATATGAATAGTTGCCTGATTGTCACAATGGAGAGGAATTGGGTACTGGACTGAAATCCTAAGTTCCTATAAAAGAGTTTTCAACCAAGTAAGTTCACAGTGTGTGTCATGGTACGATACTTTGCTTCAGCACTGGAACGAGCCACGACTGATTGTTTTTTTTTTTTTTTTTCGCAATTGACTATTTCTTACTCCTCCAAGTTACTAGATTTCCTCCCATAAAGGTGTAGTAACTCGTGGTGGACCGTCGATCAGAAGGAGTACCGGCCCAATCTGCATCTGTATGTCCCTCACTCAATCCGAAGATGTCCAGAAGATCGAAAAACCAGACCACGTCCCGAAGCTCCCTTGAGATACTTCAAGATGTGTACAACTGCCTCCATGTGAGCTACCCGAGGACTGGTCATGAACTGGCTCACAACACTGACTACATAGGAGATGTGTGGACGAGTGATTGTGAGGTAAATAAGTTTACCTACAAGTCTCCGATACATCTCTGGATCATCGAGTGGGTCACCATCATCCACCTTAAGTTATACATTAGTCTCCATGGGTTTAGCTACAGGTTTCGAACCAAGATATCCAGTATCCTGTAATAGATCAAGAGTATACTTCCGCTGAGAAAGACTAATGCCTTGGTTCGACTGAGCCCCCTCAATTCCTAGAAAATACCGAAGTTTGCCCAAATCCTTAGTACGGAAGCTAGAACTCAAGTGATGGATTAGAACTTGTATCCCATCTTTGTCACTGCCGGTGGTAACAATATCATCTACATACACCACAAGAATAACAATACCATGTTTCGTTTTCGTAAAAAAGAGAGTGGTTAGCTTGGCTTCTAGTTATACCATGAGCTACCATAACTTTACTGAACTCATCAAACCATGCACGAGGGGACTATTTGAGGCCATAGATAGACTTCTTGAGATGACACGCACACTCCCCCTTATACTCAAACCCAGGTGGTTGAGTCATATAGACTGTCTCATTAAGGTCACCATGCATTTTTAACATCAAGTTGATGAAGTGGCCAGTCTAGATTAGCTGCAAGAGAGATTATCACATGAACATAATTCAGTTTGGTCACAGGAGAGAACTTCTCAGTATAATCAAGGCCATAAGTCTGAGTGTAGCCTTCAGCAACAAGTCGAGTTTTGAGACGGTCAACAGTACCATCGGGCATCTGTTTAACAGTAAAAACCCAGTGACAACCAATAACCTCAGTATCAGCACGCTTAGGAACAAGGTCCCAAGTATGATTCAATTTTAAAGCATTTATTTCTTTTTCCATAACTTTCCTCCCCCCTGGATGAGAAAGTGCCTCCCTGTAGGACTTAGGAAGAGCATTAGAGGATAATGACAAAGAAAAAGCTTGAAAGGAGGAGGATAATTTATTATACGATACAAAATTAGAGATAGGGTGATTGGTACAAGACCGTTTACTTTTTCGAACAACAATAGGTTGATAAAGATCAGAGTCCGGAGAGATGGAAGAATCTCTAGGCGTTGAAGCGACTGGTGGAAGTGGCAAGGCTGGGTTTACTACTTCAATCGTTGGAACATTTTTTTTTTTTTTGATAAGTTACTTCAATCGTTGGAACATGATTAACTACTCTTTTCTGGTGACGAGCATAGACACGAAGAGCTGGTGGGATGTCAGAATAAAAAACTGGAGTTGGAAGAATATACTCTTAAAGAACAGAGTCCTCCAGGCGACTGCCTTTCTGAGAATAATAAGGAACATCCTCAAAGAAAGTTACATCTACACACACAAAATGTTTACGAAGAGTTGGACTGTAACATTTATATCCCTTTTGAGTGCGAGAATAACCTAAGAAAATACATTTGTGAGCACGGGGATCAAGTTTGTCTCGTCCCGGGCTTACAAAACAGACACACCCAAACACCTTTGGAGGAATGGAAAAAGGATTTTTGTCATTTGGAAGGGTGATTTTCCTTGAAGGACCCTAGAAGGCATGCGGTTTAAAAGATAAATAGCAACCAGAACTGCATCTGCCCAAAAATGTTTTGGAACATGCATTTGAATTGTTAAGACATGAGCGATAGCTAGGAGTGGGCCATTCTTCCATTCAGCAACTCCATTTTGTTGAGGGGTATCAATACAAGATGTTTGATGGATAATGCCCCTCGACTCAAGAAACTTTTGAAAAACATTAAGTTTGTATTCAAGGGCATTGTCAGTTCTAAGAACAAGTAATTTTGCATCAAACTGATTTTGAATTTTAGCATAAAAGGATTGAAAAACAAAGAATAATTGAGATCTATCTTTAAGAATATAAACCCAAATTAAACGTGAATAATCATCAATAAATGAAACAAAATAATGAGCACCAAATAAACCAGTAGTACGAGCTGGCCCCCAAACATCCGAATGTACTAACTCAAAAGTTTTTGAACTTTTATCAAAACGAGACTTAAAAGTAGCCCGACGATGTTTACGAAGTTCGCAAGTAGTACAATTAAACTTAGAAAAATCAACTAAAGAAGGGACCAAGGCTCGAACACTATTTGAAGAGGGATGTCCAAGGCAGCAATGCCACTGGTAAGCTGAAGAAGAAGTGGAATGTAGAGTTGTCGGAACAGTAGTTGGTTGGAAGTAGTAAAGACCATCCTTCTCAAACCCCACCAATTGTCTTCTTTGTCTTGAGATCCTGAAGGACACAACAGGAAGGAGAAAAAGTAATTGAGCAATTTAAATCTGATATGATTTTGCGAACTGACAATAAATTGAATGAAAATTGAGGGATATATAAAACTGATGAAAAAGTGAGACCCGAGGTGCGGAAGGTACCAATTAAATGAACAGGTGATTTGGCACTATTTGCTATATTAACAACCGATGGTGAGAAAACATGAGAAATATCAGAAAGAAGAGATGGGTTACCTGTCATGTGATCGGATGCCTCGGAATCAATGATCCAAGGTGTAGAAGGTGAAGCATGGAGACACGTATTACTTGAAGTAACGATAGTAGCAGTAGAGGCGGGCTGATTTGCATGCTCACGCTTTACCAGTTTGGTGCTGGTGATTGACCCAAGAAGATGGGATTCCTTAGTATCTATCACAAGAGCTGTCGAACAAATGAGATATGGTAGTGAGAGGGAGCCGAGATAAGAGAACCAAGATCTAGCCGAGATGAACTCGAGAGATATTATGGAGGAGAGAGTCGAGGAGGGATCCGAGAGAGAATGCTGAGACGAGAATTGAGATCATCGAGGAGAGATCGCCGAGAAGAGATTGGGAGAAAGCCAAGATGGAATCAAGATCGAAGTTTGAATAAGACTAATTTTTTTTTTTATAAGAGGGATCGATTTCCACTCTGATACCATGTTGAAAAAGAGAGAGAGAGAGAGAAAGAGAATATATGAAAACTTATATGTTATTGAGACAATAATACAATGGTGTTTATATAGGAGAAGCTACGGGAGTAGGTGAGTGGAGAACAAGAAAACCCTGTACATAGTAATTCTATATATGGTAATGAGGGGTAGGTGACAGCTCATACAATACTAACTATAGACGTGTGACAACTCATACAATACTATACAACAGTCTGCATAGAGGGTAATAATAGGGGAAGGGGAAGACAAAAGTTGACTTTGGTAGAGATAGTAAGGAAGGTTATGTTACATGTGGTTTGACCGAGTCTGTGTCCTTGGATAGAGCTGAATAGAAAACTAGGATTCATGTGCCGACCGTAGGTATTACCAGCATTGACTTGGAAAAACAAATCCTGTCTTTTTAGGCGTCATAAAATTAACTAAAAATGATTAAAAAAAAAGTATTAAATTACAGCAAACTGAGGTTGCAACCATGTTCTGGTGGTTTCTGTTTATTGGTTTTCGATCCAAATGAATAAATAAACAATGCAGCTTTAATTACTGATTACCGTTATACATCGACCATCTTGATAATGTTAACACTGCATTGGTGGCCATTAATGTGACCAATTTAGAAACATTGTGTCAGATCATCACTTTGGTGTCTAGAGGCCTTCATTATGGGTAATCTATATGGCTATTTCCTATACTGACCGATAATGCTATAAGGTCTTTGAGCCACAAAACTTAATGGTGATTTTGAAACTATGTTTGCTCGTCTCTGTCAGAACCTTGTTGAGATTCTGAAATGGTGATTCGTTCTTGGTGTCAGTTTTGAGTGTCAATGTTCAATAATAGTTCAGAGACTCCAAAAAAGCTGTCTCAACCATAATTGACAAATTATTGTATCTGTGACATTTTCAGGACAAAGCAGCACCCCTGGAAGAATCCGTCAAGTTGAACAGGATCATAGAGTTGCAGTCACTAGTTCTAGGGTGAGCTTAATATATGTATGCATAACTTGAGAGTGTTTCATTATCTGAAAAGATGAGTTGGAGTTGATATTTGCTAATGTTTAGTCGAGTTTTTTAATTGAATTTCATACTTGTTTAAAAAATATTTCCAGCAATCAAATGTGAATGGCATGGCGGAATTTGACTTGCACTCAGGTTGTTGTTCAGTGATTATGTGTTGGTTCTCTATCAATTCACTATTGCTTTAAAAATCCATGTCTTATTATTGGAATTTTCTGTACAGTGAAATCTTCTTCACCGTCGGCATCTGTCGAACCTTCTGCTGCACCTCACCCCAAATCATATATGGAGGTTTTTCTCTTTCCTTTTCCCTTGTGATTTATCCGTTCTTCACTATTTTTTTTTAGAAGGTTAATAGTTGGTTTATTCATGAATGTGTCCCTCTTCTCATGTTCCTTACTTAGCAATAGACATGCAAAACTGGAGAATTAATGCAGTCAAATGCCTATTTTATTATTGTTTAATTTGTCTTTTGGACTTAATCAAGCCCCCACTCCACCACCTTCTCCCCCAACAAATACAAACAAACCCAAGTAAGAGTCCTGGCTCCTTATAGAGGTAGTGAATGCGATTACAGCCTTACAGGGTAGAGTAGGTAATGTCACTGATAACATGAAGGGAATATCACCAGGAAGATTTCTATAACTGCCAGGACTGAATTAGTTGGTTTGTGAAAGGAGGGGTGTTGGACGGAAAGACGGGGAGACAGGCCTAATATCTGGTATTATTTTGCACACAGTGGCTGCTCTCAAAACTTGAACCATGTCGCCATGCATGTTAGCTCGAACTTCTACCACTGCAACAAATAAGTCCCCACCACTTTTTCTTTTTCTCTTTTCAGAAGATACGCAAAGCGAGTGCTCCACCATTGCAACAAACAATAACCCCTTTGGTTTATTAGTTGTGATCCAGTGAAAATATTCTGAGACCTCTATTTAGAACCACAATCTTGTATTTTGAGATGGAGCATAAAGGAAATGTTCTTTTTAATTTATAGAATCATTTTGCAGATCATGGCCATGGTCCAAAGAGGAGAAAGACCTCCTAACATCAGAGTAAGTCCACCTCTGGTCATGATGTTGTGTGATTTTTTTCTTGGTGCGGTGCTGACCCCCGGTTCTTCTGGATTTTCTTTTCAGGATATCAATGATCTTCCGCCCAATCCCAATCAACAAATTTCACATCCTCGCTTGGCACCAAGATCTAAGGTTTGCTTTTAGAAACTTTATTCTTGTCTTATTTATTTATTTATTTTACAAGTAGTTCATGTATCAATGCAAACTGTTTGGATGTGGGAGATATTTTGAAGATTGAATTTGAATATGTAGCAATAATGCATTTTTTTTAAGGTTCTATCGACATGACGAGTAACTGCAATATATACCAGATAGCTCATCATAAAAGCAAATTTAGTGATTTGATTGCTAAGGAAATATTAACTGATTTGGTGTCATGGTGACTATTAATTTTCATATAGTATCATTCTTTAATATGATTGGGAAGTGCCACTGAGTTGATGCAAGTTCCAAAAATATGTTTCCAGAATATAAATGGTATCATTTTACGGTCTGGCCATTTTAAATCTGAATATTCTTTATTTTATTTGAATGGCTATATGATATTGACCAGATGGCGTTAGAAGTAGTCTTTTATGGTTATGCATTTACATCAGATAGAGCCGATTATGGTCTCACCTTTTTTTTTCTTTCCTCTTGAGTAGCCTTGGGAGGTTAGTCATGCGCAAAACGGCTCAGGCTATGTTCCTCAAACTCAAGAGAGTAGTGATGGTTCCAATATGAAGATACAAGATAATGGGTTCATCAATCAGTCGAATGGAGATAGTTCAATGCCTTGGTGGCAACGGAAAAATGTGAGAATTACCGAAATTGAAACTGAAGACGGACCCACGTTTGGTTCTTCTGGTGTGCCATCAAACGAGAGACCAGTTCAGCGCTCATGGGTTCCTCCCCAACCCCCCCCTGTTGCAATGCCAGAAGCAGCTGCAGCCATTCGACAGCCGAAAAAACCATTATTTCGGAAAGAACAATTAGCTGACGATCAGTCAGTGTCTCATCCTTCTGATATAACTGATGAGTTGCAGAGGATCACAAAGTTATCCGAGTCAGGAGGTGTAGTGGAGGAAAATGGTGGGAGCTCAAAGCTGAACCCCAGTGAGATACAAGTAGCAAATGAAGCTTTTGAATAGAACAGAAGTGGGTTCAATCAATGGTATCCATATATGTCCTACAAAGTGGAAAATAATATAGAAAGAACATGTAGGATAGACATGAACCGATCAATTCGATCCATACGTTTGCTGTACCTTCTCCTAAAACTCAAAACACTGTATCTAAAACTTGTTCTCATGAAGAATTAAGGTTAAAGTATCATGTGAATCCTCACTATATCAGCTATTCAGCTTACAAGGATTGGTGGTTTATTGTCTATTGTGTAGAAGCAGCAAACCTGTAAATTTAGTTAAATGCTTCGTCATTTTTATCCTTGGTTACCCTTTTCAGCAGTCGATTTGTATTGAGTTTGATTCATGCATAAATTGAGAATTCCTATGTAGCAGAAGCTGGGTAGTAGTTATTTTGTTTTTGACACTTTGTTGGGATCTTATAGTTTAGATGGAAAATGATAGAATTCCAACTGATCTTACAATCATTGACATAAACACTCTTAACAGGAGAGAGAATCTATTACTGACAAAGGATCCTTGTTGGAGGAACCAAAATCCTCTACAGTGGTCCAATTCCATCAAGGAATCACCTTCACAACTTTTTTGTAGGTTATGCCACTAACTTAGGGCCGGTTTGGCAATTATAATTATTTTGTACTTTTGTTTTGATTTGAAGCAGAAAGAATGTTTATGTTTTAGAGTGTGTTTAACACTATTTTGAAACTTGTTTAGTAGCGTAAATTTATCATAAAATTTTTTGAAGCAAAAATATGAAAACATGTTTGGTAAAAAGTATAAATTTGAATGGTTAGTTAAAAGTATTATTTTATATTTTATATTTTAATAGTGCTTTGTTATCATGTAGAAATAAACAAAATCATCATTTTTATGCTTTGGATTTTGATTTTAATTTTGAAAATATTTTGATACTATTTAAATGATAATAAATATTACAAAACATGTTTTTTTGCGTTTTTTTATTTATTACAATACATTAACAAAATCAAGAAAAACAAACTATAAAGGATTTTGTTCCTTGTTGGACACCATTTATTGGTAAAAGCATCATTGTAGCATTATTATAGTTTAGATTTTTCAGTAGCAACACGTTCCATGGCCTGTGGCTCAGAACATCTCTTGACACTCATTCAATTCGAAAGGTACCATGGCCCATAGGGTTGCTCAGAATCACATTCATTCAATTCTGAGGACAACAGATCAATGTGCAATATGTGTTAGCATAAAAAGTCTACTTGCTATAGTTTTGTTGATTGCTTTTGTAATGGCAAACATACTCAAAATTTGCTTGTGCAATATGTGTTAGCATAAAAAGTCTACTTGCTATAGTTTTGTTGATTGCTTTTGTAATGGCAAACATACTCAAAATCTGCTTTTAGTTTTCTACCCATGAGCATTGTCTCGTTACCACATCTCCAAAATATTATATTTTAGTAATTTTATTTCAATAAAATATTTCATTCAAAATATTATTTAAAGTATATTATTTTTATCCACTTGTTATATTTTGATAAACGGCACAGTATGAGAAAAAAAAAAATCTCTCAAAATTTTTTTATAACTGTTATATATAATAATACTTTTGACAATCTCAAAATATAAGATGTCTTTTGAGAACCTATTAAAATGTATTATTTCCATTCACGTGTTATATTTTGACTTTGAAAGGCTTCTTGAGAGAGTATTGGAGATACTCTTACTACAACTGAGTTCACACGAACCCGTCAAGTTGAAATCTAATTTGAAATTTTTTTTTAAGACATATTGTGAAAGATTTGAAATGTAATAAAAAATAGTGATTCATACAGAATAAAATATTCACATTTGATTCAAATACTATACCTATCAGGAATAAAGAAATAGAAAAAATCAAAGATTTCGTATATTGCGTTTGATCGAAAAATCGATTTTTTTAAAGCACTCGTGCAACATGCTTTTCTTGCAGATTTATATTTTGTTGTCTCATTCCCACTAATAATGCCCATATATACCACCTACAAATCGGAGCCTAACAACACATAACGTGAAATTATTTCTTAGTCTCGCGTCATCTTAAGTGGCTTTTGTCAAATTCAACGCTTTTCACCGACTATTTTTCTAGTTGGTTGATATATAAATACACAGTCACACACACACACACACACACGTGTATACACATCAAAACATTTAATATTGTCTTTGTGAATGCAGACCATACATAGTAATACGTACCAATCAATTTTGTCCTCAGTGGAAGCACTTTAACAGGACACCATTAAGGTATCGATAACTGAGTGAAGAGTTGCATCACCATGATACCAAAGCTGAGAGTTCCAAGGACAAACTCCACAATACTTTTGTTTTTTTAAAGTCAAGAAGTGTAAAAGGTTGAATTAGTACTGATGGATATATAATTTAATTACCTGCAAATAGAAAAAAATTATTAAATTAACTAACGCATCATTTTATAAGATTGAGATAAGCTTTACAAATTATAATAAGGATTAAGTTTACAGATTACGATAAGGATTAAGTCGACGATAAGTATACAGAATATTAGATTAGATAAGAATTTTAAGTTACATGAAGACTAAAAGGGTATGGATAAACTTAAGGAGATAGAGATAACAACTATTACACTCTCCAATGACTTTTAAATCCGTAATGGATAAGGAAAGTAAATTTGTTTCATAATAGAAGACTACTACCGTGAATACTTTTATAAAAAAAATTATCAGTCAACCTAAAAAGGTATGTCATAAATCATATATTTAATCATTTATTGGATATTCAATCGTCAAGTACTAACTTGACCGTCGGAGTGCATCCGGCCTGCACCACGCCGATTGTCATTTCTCTCTTGTCTTGCAGGAAACACTCCCGGCTCCGGACCGTACAGATTTCTGCATCAACAAGTAAATACACAAAGTCAAACATTTTAAAATTCACCGAAGGTATTAATTCTCATTTCTCGTGTATCAAGACAAATTGAGAATTTTTATGACTGCGCATTAAGTGAAGATACCATGTGTAACTTACATGTACCTAAAGTATTGTATACTTAGTTTCAAGAATCAAGCTAATTTATCGAGCGAAGTTTGACCTGGCCAAGTGGACTAAAAATCAATAGTTCAAATTTTAAAATTTATGAACTCATGTTTATAAGTCTTAACGTGTTCAAGGTTCACCAATTTTTTTTTTGGTTTTCGTTTTGCGAAAGTCAGGACAAGTTAAGAGTTGTTCTAGTTTGACTTTTTCGATAAATGAGATTGAAAATGCAATTCAAGTTTGGTTGGATTGATATCAAGGTAAGTTCAAATTATTCATGAAGGGTAAGATGGGCCTTTTGTGATGTCCTAGAGTGTGAATCTCGAGAAATGATATCATAGTCAATTCCTTTGAAATATAAAGTGTACAGAAGTTCCTGAGAATTACACGACCAAGAATGCTACCAACGAGGATGTTGAGTCTCAAGATGGAGTTATTATGACCAAGTGCCAATTTTGTCTTTTACAAGACAAATTTAATACTAACAAAGTTTTATTAAGAGTGCTAGTATTTTTTTCATTTTTATTTTTTTCATTTTCTCCTATTTTTAGAAAAATAACAAAACCAACACATCATGCATGATTTTTATCCTTCCAAATTCATCTGTTTCCTTTCTTTTCCTTTAAAAATTCATTCTAAACAAAACATTTCATTTCCCTCTACTATATTTCATTTCTTTTTCTTTCGTTCCAACCAACTAAACGGGCCTTAAAATAATATAGTTTGTTACTGTTTCTTCTTGTTTGACTTGTATTGTGTAGGCCGCCTGAGCCAACATTGCTCCTTGGATTCATAAAAGTTCCCAAAAGGTAGAATCTTTGCCACCTGTGTCATTTGGATGCTCCCCTTAATTTAATTTGTAATTGACTTTGTAATGTTAGTTTTATATAGTTAAGGATAATAAGGGTTCATAAATATATTTTTATTTTATTTATTTACATAAATATGTTCTTTTAATACCTTTAATTACCCAATCACATTTCAAAGCTTACATACCTTTTTCCTTCACAAGGACTGCAGATAAGTTACATTCAAGTATATACCACATCACGGTTTATTTATTTATGCTGTATATACATACCTTTTTCCTTCACAAGGAGTGCAGATAAGTTACATTCAAGTCTATACCACATCATGGTTTATTTATTTATTTATGCTGTATATATATGTTTTAACTTACAGTCTTTTTGTCATAGAACAATTAATTTATGTGTTATAACTTACGGTATCTATACCCATCATGTTTTATTTATTTAAAGTCATTGAAGTCTAAATTTTTTTTTTTTTTTTTTTAATTAACACAACTGTTCCTTTGATCTTCTTGATCTCATTTTCACCACACATAGCTCCCAAAATCTCATGAATTAACATAATTTTTTTCTTTTTCCTCGACTAGCTAGAGCGAAAGCAAGAAAGGATATCATGGACCAAAAGGAAAAGTAGTGTTACAATGAATGAAATCAAGAAGGTTCTTTCCATTATTATTATTATTATTATTTTTTTTTTTTTCAGAAATTAGTAATCAAGAAGGTTGGTAGGGAGGGATTGCTTGAATTTGTTGAAGTTTTGTGAAAGTTGAAAAACCATGAGACCACCACCTTCTTCCTGGAACCCAACCACCTGAAACTACCATTTCTCCCTCATAATTCTTATCCACCTCTTAATCTTGATCCTCTCTCCTCCATCTCTATCGCATATAGCTCAATCACCAGCTTCCCCAGCTCACTAGCGCCTCCCGATCGTATTTCTCCTCGAGATGAAAGAAAAGATAGGCAATCTATCTTTTCAGAGCTATCGCCCCAATAAAAAAAATATTCTTGTGATAGGCCCCGTTCCTGGTCAGAAATATAGTGAAATCACCTTTCCTATTCTTTCCCCAGACCCCGCTATGAAGAAAGATGTTCCTACATACTCTGGTATACCGACCACCTATTCCTCCATCTTCAGATGGCCTTCCTCCTAACAGTTTCCCCAAACCTACATCTAAGCCACTGAGGATCTCACTCCATCTGCCCTCATAGAAAGGAGCTATAGGCAGCACTTTCCACCATTCTCAGAAGTTGAAGGAACCTATCCCAAGTAGCACTCATCTTCCATCTTGCCCTATACCAAGAAATTTTAATCCTGTCATTTATGAGTCACCTGAGCATCAAATTGATAGACTAATTGAGAAGTTAGAATGGGGACAAGAAACCTTGGTAGAGCTGAAAGATTTGTACCTAATTGTAACGGCTCGAATTTTCATAAATTGGACCGTTCGCGAGTAACCTAAAACATTGACCCGATAACGAGTCCGAAATGCAGAAGCAAAAACAAAACAAAAGTGTCACTAGAGACAACACCATCTCTAGGACAATGAAAGAATACCAAATGGAGCCAACAAGTCTAAC